CCTCAAAAGTGCATTATCTTAATCCATTCCTCCTGAGATTCCCTCTTTAAAGTATCATATCTTCCTTTCAGGTGCTTCTCTTGTTGTTGCAATACAAGCTGTCAAGAAAGGAGCAGCAGCTGAGGGAATGAAAGTGAGGGACTATGTCTGGCGCGGCCATGATCCTACATCTGTTGCAGTCATGACAGAGGTAATTCACTATGCCTTTTTGCACTTTTGGTTGTTAAAGAATTGAACTTGTTAAATGCAAAGGTGGGGTTTGGGAAATTTGGAACAGCATTAATGAGTTAGGGTGAATTTAAAATATTCAGTTGCTGTAGAAGTAAGACCATAGATGATATGCTTTCTTGACATAATATTTTACTATTATCTTATTTTCCTTGTAGAGTGCTTGTACTTGAAACTGTTAAAGCTATGGATAGGTCTATCGATTTAGTGAAGAGAAGAGCCTAATTTTGATCAGTATACCATTAACTAATTTAAGAATTCAATTTCACATGTTTGTCTCTTAAGCGTCGCAAAAAAAAAAAAAAAAGGAAAAGGAAAAGAAGGAAGCAGCATCACTAAGCTTCAGTTACATTGCACATTTTCTTACCAAGGGGCAAGCAATCCCTAGTGCAGCCATATTTTTCAGTATTGAGCCATACTGCAGTATTTGTGGGATTTATGGAGTATTTGCCATTGATCTGGTTGAATAATTTTAGTAGAGTTTTCCCTGTCATTATTGTGATTTTACAGTTTGCGTTCCCCTTTCGAAGATGACATATTTTACTAGTCATCTGATATAATATACAGAAAGTTTACAACTGGGCTTCTCCAATAAAGCAACTTAAATGGCTTGACAAATTATGTTGTTTATTGTCAAACCGATGGGTCAGAGCTTATAGACATAGGTGTTCATGACATAGTTAATATAACAAGCAGCCCTAAATGAGAATAACTATTTGTAATTTCCTTTTCCTCTTGGTCCATGTTATGTAACAGGCAGCTAAACTAGTGAACTGTAGAGCATGAAAATTACATAAAAAAAGTAATTAAAATTGCAACTTCATAGGAGGAATTTTATAGTTGCAGATATCTTTATCTATATCAGTATATCTTTATCTCCATAAGCTCTTCATTATTGCTTCCGTTTGGTATAATTGATCAGCTCCTGGTGTAATGATCGAGGAGTTTTCTCCCCTTTCAAACATTTAATAGGTTTGATTGAGTTATGTTTTGAAAGATCTAAAAGTAATACTCTCAACTGGATGTCTAAATTGGAAATCTGTTTACTTTTGTTTCCTGCCATCTTCTACCTCATTCTTTTTCTTCTGTGGACCTTAAGGATGTTGTTGAGTGTTGATTGAATTACCTCTATGTTTTATCTTTTCCCATTTCCCTTATTCTGACTGCTGCACCTATCTAGTCTGTGAATGTACCTTTATGCAGTTTTTCTCCTTGTTCAATTTTTCTTCCTGAAAAAAATTATAAGAATCATGATGATAGCTGTGATTTTTCTTAGTAACTTCAGTTTTTTTTCTGTAGTTCACGTTATATTATGGCAACTTTTGCAGGATGGTGCTGCTGTAACTGGTCTTGCTATAGCTGCAGCATCACTGGTTGCAGTGAAGACAACTGGGAATGCCATATATGATCCCATCGGTTCCATTATAGTCGGCAACCTTCTTGGAATGGTCTGTTATAATTCTTACACCTGAAATTTTTACATCTTTAACTGACTATCTGTAATAACTGCCTGATACGATGCAACCAAACTCTTTGAACATGCAGGATGGTATTTGTTAGTTTCTCACAGTCAATAAGTAATGTTTGTCTTAACCAAAAGCTTGGAGTTTCTTGAATTATAGACATAGTCACAGCTTCCTTCTTCATTTTATCTTTTTCTAAGGTGATATATTTCCAATTAGACTTTAGGCATTTTTGTGCTTTTATGGGTTCCTGAGAAAACATACTATGTTGTCTTTAGAAACTGATCGGTGAAGAACTAGGATGCGCTTGAACTTTGTGCTATTAAGTGTGAAAAGGGTGGATAAGACCAAGAATTTAGGCAAGTCACTAAGTCTTCTCTGGCGAGGTGATATGCAGGATCTGATTAATGAATATGTCGTATTTAGTACTATGAAAAAAATGCATGACCATATAGCATTGTTAACTTTGGCTGGAATATCCTTTATGAAATGGATGATTGGGTACTGTTCTGTACTTTAATGGCTTCAGCAACTTTGATGACGAGTCTGAATTTCTAAACATTTCTTATGTGAATTCTTACATGACGAAATGTTGTTAATTATTCAGTAGCCTGGTTACGATTTAGGTTGCTGAAACAAGATTCCTGGGTGATTAATACACAAGGAAATATTCATGTTTTTCCTTTCATTGGCTCGTATGTTCTCAACTTTGTTTTCAGATGTAGGGAGGGGGGATTGTAGTTAGAAGCGAGTTAAAAGTCTTAAGGCTGTGTTACTATAATATTATAATTCCAGGCATCTTTTGGTTAGTGGTATATCTTATTTGAGCTTATCAAATTTGTAGGTTGCAATATTTCTCATCCAGCGCAACCGGCATGCCTTGATAGGAAGAGCAATTGATGACCATGATATGCAGAAGGTTCTCCATTTCTTGAAGAATGATCCGGTATATCTCTACTAGAATTTTTTGACTTGAAATCCTTCATTTGTAATCATCCTTGAAAAGTTTGAGGGGCTTGAAATTTCTGCAGGTTGTAGATGCTTTATATGATTGTAAGAGTGAAGTGATTGGACCTGGGTTCTTCAGATTCAAGGCAGAGATTGGTGATTTTCTCACACTGACTTTTACTTTATGCTGATTATTTCTAAAAATTAGTTTTCTTAATAATAATTATTTCTATTTCAGTATTTTTTTTGTTGCAAATTTTCATCCCATCCAATACAATATTTTAACTGGAAAGCAAGAGATACATTTTACTAGCTCTCTTCCTGTCAGTAACAGATCAATAATGCTATTGTGTTATGAACATTGATATGATGTTTTCTTGATGGAATTATGATGAAATTTGTACCGAGTCCATACTTTTGGATTTATGATCATCAGTAAATCAGGGAGGTCAGGTACTAGCATGGAATTTATGCTAGATCTGGTCTGCTAAAATAAATAATTGACACTTCTCTAGTTGAAACCTTTTGACATTTTTTGTATTGTTGTGACAATGTGCTACAGATTTCAATGGAGTGGTGGTTGTGCAAAATTATCTTGACAGAACAGGACGTGAAGAGTGGGCAAGACAGGTTAATATTCCGATCTCCCATTTCCTTTTGTGAACATTGATATGATGTTTTGCTGTTATCGATGTGTAACTAATTACTGCCCATGATTTGGCCTTTTTTTCCTGTGTGCATGAACATTATCTTTGATACAATCAAGTGATATATAATATACTCTAAAACTCAAGCATTTCTGGTGAACATATCCAATTTAAATTATAACATAATTATCTTTTAATTCAACATGTATTATTTGATTGTATGTGCATTGTCTACACTAAATAGGAAGCCTGAGTTGAAAGATAATTTATTTTGGTGATGATAAGACATTAAAACATATCCAATTTAAATTAAAACTTTAAAATACCAAAATTAAAGGCTTCAAGCTTCCTATTTAGTGCAGATAATGCACGTACAATTTAGATTATGTGTTGGTGATGATAAGACAAATTAAATTATGTTTTGGTGATGATAAGACAATTTAAATTATTGTCTGCACTAAATAGGAAGCCTGAGTTAAAAGATAACATAATTGTCTTTTAATTCAACATGCATCATCTTTTAAAGTTTTAATGCCATATCCAATTTAAATTATAACATATATAGCATACTCTAAAACTCAAGCATTCCTGGTGAACATATCCAATTTTAATTATAACATAATTATTTTCTATGGTTTAAAGTTTTAATGTCTTATCATCACCATAACATTGTTTGCTTGTACGTGCATTGTCTGCACTAAATAGGAAGCCTGAAGCCTTTAATTTTGGTATTTTATTATGCTTAATGTCATTGTTGACTAACCGGAATTTGGTCGTGCACAGTTTCGAGAATCTGCAAAGGAGAAAGATGATTCTGCTTTGCTAAAGATCATGTCGAATTATGGTATACAAGTAGATGAAGTAGTGATTGTAATAAATTGAGTTGTAACGTGTATAACAAGAGTTTCTTTTTGCAGGTGAGGAAGTAGTCACAGCACTAGGAAGCGAAGTCGATCGACTCGAAAAGGAGATCCAAGAACTTGTTCCCGGCATTCGGCATGTTGATATCGAAGCCCACAACCCCATAGACCTATCATCATCGTCATCCTAAATATATTTTTCAAGCATTATTTCTTCTTCTTTTTTTATGTTCCTGTTAACTAAAATTTCTTCTATATCATTCAATGATAAATTGTAAGCTGTGAATAGGGATATTTTAGTTTTAAAATGAATGCAATTCTTAGAAAGCTGAATTTATCTCAGAATCATGGCCTGCGTCAAAGAAGGAATTTGTTAGCTTTAGTTTGCAGAGCGAAATGAATGCAACGCTGCAGGAATTTATAATATATGTGATTTTTTACTTATTTATATATGTGATTTTGTACTTATTTGTGTTCTTTTTTCTTGAGGTATTGGGTTTGATCAGTTGTGCATGGTGTGTGTGCGTTGTCAATAGTTAAGAAATATTATAAATAAATATTATTTTATAATCATTCTAGACTATTTAAAAAAAAAGTATACCATGTGAAGATACTAACTTTTTATCCATTTTTATTTATTTATTTATTATTATTATAATTATTATTATAATAATAATAATTATTATTATTATTAAAATATATATATATATATAATAATAAAAATTACAAGCCCAAAAATCGAAGGCCCAATCAATCGGCCCAGACCAAACTGAAACCCTAAACATTTAGGGTTTCAGCAAGGGTTTCTAACCCTAGTGCCGCAGCCGCCTCCCCAGTTGCCAAAGACCGTTGCCGACGGTCAGTTGCCAGATGCTCGAACCCACTTCAGCCACGACGCCGCCGTCTCGTTGAAGACTCCAGAAGCTTTGTTGCTTCAACACCCGCCGCCCACGTTGCAAGCTCTAGGGGTGAGTCACCACATAGGTGACTCACCGAACTCCACCCTTAGGACCGGTCCGAGACAAGCGCCGGTGATGGCTATAAAGCCATCACCCAACCTGCAAAGAAAACAGAGGACAACCAGCAAAAACAGAGAACAAAAAAAAACAGAAAGCAAATCACTAAAACAACAACCAGGAAGAACGGAGAACAAAAAAAAAACCCCACAACACAGCAACCAAAAACAAAAGAAAAGAAAGGAGAGAAGCTTACCGAGGAAGCCACGACCGCCGGATCTCTTCAAACGTCACCAAAACCTTCGAAAATCGAAGGTACTTTCTTAAATTTGCTCCGATCGGGAGCCATTTAAGAGAAATGAGTACCGGAACCGTCATTAGGACGGTCCGATCTACATTGTGGTGTAAAAATATTTTTTTTCCGGCCACCGGATGCGGTGGCCGGCGGTGGGAATTACGGCGGCAGACGGCTGCCGCCCGGTGACCGGCTTCCCTCTGACGAGGGAAGCTAGAGAGAAGGGAGAGCGTTTTTTATTCTCTCTCAGTTAGAGAGAGAATGATAAAGGGAGAAATGAGAGAGCTGGCCCGAAGGGCCAGCCGTTTCTGGCTTTAAATAGCCCTTCCCGAACGACGTCGTTTTGGGAAGGGCTATTTGTGTAATTTTTAATTGTTAAACCCCATCCGTAGTCCCTCTATCCTATATATTTTACATTTTAGTCACTAAATCGAATTTATAATCCTTTTAATTTGGTCTCTAAATTTTATTTATTAATATTTTAACCCCAAATCATATGTTTTAATTTATTTTAATCTGATATTCGAATTTAATATAATTTTATTTTAGTCACCAAATTAATAAATAAGGAAAATATCATGTTTAATCCCTATAATTTTAAATAATTAATTAAATTAAGTATTTAATTTTATTAGATTATAATTTAGTAATTAATTTTAAATATTTTCATTGCTTTTAAATATATAGTTCTAATCTTATTTTTATTATTGTTTATTTATGTTTTAATTTTACTTATATATTTAAATATTATTTTTATTATTATTATATAGTCATAAATATATATAATAAATAATAATTTATATTTTTATTTACATAAATTATTTTAATATTTATTTATTTATTTTTCAGTATCGAAGAAAATGGTAGTCTTAATACAACTGGATGTCTTATTCTGGTATTTTAAAATTAAATATTATAAAAAAATTATAATTTAATTTTATTTAAATTATTATATTAATATTTATTAATATCGAAGAAAAGAGCTGTCTTAAGGCACCTAGAAGTTCTTTTCTGATATTTATAACTAAATAAATATTTTATTTATAAATATATATATAAATTATTTTTTCTCATAATTATAATTTTGAAATAATAGGATTATAAATTAAATATATTTTGAATTTTTAAATTTCTAATAATAGAGACAATTTATAATTAAAAAGTACCAATTTTGGGCGTTGTAGGGGTGCTAATCCTTCCCTAAACGTAACCGACCACGAATCCCTTTTTATTATTAAAAAGAACGAATTTTTGGTTAAAATGCAGATCAGTTTATCTTTTAATTGATGTTTTCTTAAAAATTCTTTTAAAAGATTTTTTTTAGGTATTCGACCTACCTGACCCAAAAGGCCGATGGCGACTCCCAAATTATTTTCAAAACCATTATTCACATCACTTTTCCCGCCAAATAAATATTTCGTGCCCGGGCGAAAACCGGTTACGACAGCTTGGCGACTCCGCTGGGGACGGCCAAACTTTTAAAATCAATTATAAATTGTCTCTATTAATTATAAATTAAAAATTCATATATTTGATTTATAATTCTTTCTTTTCAAATTTTTTATATACTTATTATTTTCATAGCATTTATACATTTTCTTATTAATATTTCATTTTATTTGCAAGTATTTTATTTCATTATTTATTTTTCTGTCAAAGGTTTGATCATTTCTCCTCACACACAACACTTGCATTGCATAACATAAAGCTCTATAATTGAGTTTGTCCCTTTTAAGTGGGAGTGAAAGCGACGTCTTCGTGAGAATTTATTCTCCGTGTCAGACCTAGCAAGTAACTTTCGGGGTTCATATGCTCTATGTCTTCGTGAGAATTTATTTTCCGTGTCAGACATAGAGAAGTGTATCCCCTCGAATTGAACTCAATCTACTTTAGTCTGTGATGGACTAGGATTGAGGGTTAACAGCCCAAGGGGGCACTAACAAGGACAATTCGGGTACCTTTATTCTTAGATCTGAAACCCTGCATATAATAAACCCTAGAAACTCTTCTGATCTGAAGCCATGCCAAAATTTTGTCCAAAATAGGTGTACACACAGGAGAAATGAATTCTAACTTTCTTTTTAATTTATTTATTCTCTTACTGATTAAATTACATGTGAATTTAAATTATTTAAATTATGAAAAAAAGCATGTTTAAATAAGGATATTTAGGTAGATATTATTATTAAATTTTTTTATTATGTAAACTAATTCATTTCTTTTTGTGTGTTCTTTATTTCTTCTGTTTACATAGCATCATACAAGATAAAAGGCATTGATCCTCGTGTTAATTGTCTCATTGGAAAGCCTTCATCCATGGATAAAAAGTGTTCAAATCAAATAATTTTAAACTCAGAAGTAAGACAGTGGGCTGAGGACTTACAAAGACAAGGAGGAGACAGTCTGCAAGATGACTATGTATCGGACTTGGTCAGTTATGCTCCAGTTTCGCTAAAAAGAAATGACATGCAAGATTTGTGAAGCATTTGGGAAAGTTGGGACTCAAACAAAAAATTACAGTTTTATCAGACTTACGGAGACATCCCATATTTGCTTTATGTCGAAGTTGATGATGACTTACTTCGAGCCCTAATTCAATTCTGGAATCTTGAGTACAATTGCTTCACTCTCAATAAGGAGGACTTGGTCCCTACTATTGAATAGTACACAACTTTGCTACATATAGAAGGGGCTTTGGAGAATCGAATTTATTCAAAGTCAATTAAAACTCAACCCTTTCGAGTTAAATTAGCAAAGATTGCCGGAGTACGAGAAGAATGGGTGGCATCCCGTACAAAACAAAAAGACGAAAGCGAAGGCATTTCTTGGACTAACATTAAAGAACTTATTCAGAGTCATCCAGACACTAAAGTACGATTCGATCTATTTGCTCTGGGTATGTATGGTATGGTCATCTTCCCAAAAGTATTGGGATATATTGAAGCTGCAGTAGTAGATTTGTTTGAGCAGCTACCAAAAAAGATTAATCCTGCTTCTGTAATTCTAGCAGAGACTTTCAGATCGTTAAATGCTTGTAGAAAGCTAGGAGGTGGACGATTCTCAGGGTGTACCCAGTTGTTATATGTTTGGATCCGTAGCCATTTCTGGAGGACATAAAAGGTTTCATACCGACGCTTTAATACGGATTACTCACCATTAAAAGAATTTCTGGAGCAAGAATGACTGAAAGAAATTAAGAAAGATATGTGGATTAATTTCTTTCGAAATCTGCAAAGCAATGACATTGTTTGACGAGCCCCATGGCAAATCCAAAGAGAATTCTTTTATAAATGTGGTGATTACAATTGGATAATGCTGCTCGGATTGTGGGGAGGAATTGGATATGCACCACTTCTGGTCATAAGACAGTATGAAGGTCGTCAATTTGTACCTGTCACTGCTGGATTACATTCATCTGAGTTCACATTCCACAGCAAAAATTATAAGAGAAATATCATGGAAGCCTTTACAGCTTGGAAAACAACTTTTTGTATCCGAGCTAAAGCAGCAAAAGAAATGCTAACTCCTGATTATGAGGAATGGAGATCTGTCAGGAAAAATGAAAATATTCCTCTACCAGATCAAAATGAGGATATCTCTATGGAAGATCGCATTAAGGTGGTTCCATCAGAGATTGAAATCCTGAGAGCTGAGTTTGAAGCAGAAAGAGAAGGTTGGTCGAGAGAATTAGAGCAAATGAGACGAGATAAAGCTATGTTGGGTGTTGACATTGACTTTCATTCATCACAATGTGCAATGTTGAGAGAAAACAAAGAAAAAGTTGATGGTGAATTTAGAGCATTAAAGAAAAATTACCAGGAGTTATATAAATCCCGGAAAGCATCAGGACCAAGTCAATCAACAGTACAGATGACCAGAGAATTGAACATCGAGAAAAGTTGAGTTGAAGATCTAAAAGGAAAGAATAGCAGTCTACTCAAAAGCCTTGAGAAAGGAAAGCAAAAAATAGAAGATTTTGAGGTTGACAGAAGAGAGCGAATTATAAAACACAAAGCTGAACACCGCGAGATCATGAATGAAATGCAAAGAGAAAGGGATCGAGCCAAAGATTTAGAAGAGATGAAGAATGACATCTTTGATAAATTTGAAGGTGAGAAAAATATCATGTTCAAGGGATTTGAATCTGAAATGAACCAGCTGATTGCCGAACTTGAAGTCAGAGGCCAAAAGATTGAAGAGTTCAATATTGAAAAAGAAAAATGGGAGCTGGAAAGAAAGAATTTCAACACCAAACTTAAGGTAGAGCAAGAAATGGCTAGCAATTGGATGCAAAGATGCAAAAACAAGAATGTTCAAATCCAGAAGCTTAATCAAAGAACGCAAGAAGCACGAACAAAACTTGAAGAAGATCTGGATCAGTCTAGAAACAAAAATGCAGAGTTTAATGCTTACATTTTGCAACTTGAAGAATCATTATTTCAAGAAAAGGTTCGTCTAGGACCTAATGATCTCAAAGAAAGTAATGAGGAAAGTACTTCACTGCGAAGACGCATTAGAGATCTTGAAAAAACTCTGTACAATTGTCAAGTCAGAATCACTGAGTTAGAGCAAACTCTTGAAGGAACTAATGAACAATGGCAAAAGTCAACTGATTTTTATGTAGAAAGAAGTGAAGAAAGAAGTAATATGGTATTCGAGGCCATGGTACAAATGAGCGAAGTTGCTAGATATGTTGGGGAACTAGCTGTTGAAGCTAAAATAATTGAGCATCACGTTGATCCAGTTTCTAAGTTCGGAAAGAAGGTGTCATGGTTAATGAAAGAAATTATAGAGCTTAATAGGAAAGCTACGCCTTATCTGTAGTTATGAACTATTATAAAGAAACTTTTGTATGCCGATGAAAGTTGTTCTATGACAGTTAACTTTTTGGGATCAATACCTTTTTGCATACATACATTTTGCATACATTCATTATTCATTTCATGATTTTCTTTATGGATAATTTTTATTATTAAGATAAAATTCATTAATTAAAATTTGAAAAAGTGTAATAATATCATAAGATTTTTCAATCGCAGTTATTCTGGCCAAAAGAGAAATACAACATCACTACGGTAGTAGACAAACTACTAAGAGAATTATGGAGGATAAAATACAACGTATTGAGGAACAACATAATAAAGAACAAGCAGAAATGAGAATGAAGCTGGAGAAAATTGAAGCCAGTATTGCAAATTCACAAGATAGCATGATGCAGAAAATAGAAGACATGTTTAAAAGGCAGGCTATCATTGAAAAAATGCATGAAAATCCTGTATCTTTCGACCAAGAACCTATGTATCCTTTAGGTTTTCCACCAGAACCAATTTATCACTCTGGTACTACACCTATACAAATCAATGCCCACACATCAGCATTTCAAGAAGCTAAACCACATGAAAATCGACAAGTGGATCCTGCATCTTCAAGCAAAAATCCACTTATATCAGATGTGAAAATAGGGGATTTTAATGCTGAACATTTAATCCAAGATTTGAATGAGCTGAATGAGAAAGAAAAAGTAAATGAAGAATTGACCAGACAGATCAAGAGCTTAGAAGAACGAATGAAATCCGTAGAAATAACTGAATCATTCTATGGGTTTGACGCTAGTGAGTTAAGTTTGGTTCCAGACTTAATCCTCCCCATCAAGTTCAAAGTTCCCGAATTTGATAGATATGACGGTACCACATGCCCTTCATCCCATATTACTATGTTTTGTCGCAGAATGACAGGATATGTGAAAGACGAGAAATTGTTAATTCACTGCTTTCAAGATAGTTTGACAGGACCAGCCTTAAAATGGTATACTCAATTGACCAAAGCCAACATTAGATCTTGGAAAGATCTGGCTAAAGCATTC